ATTCGACTGATCTGCTCGCGCACACATGTGGCTCGTGTGTTTATCGTCGCAGGCACATAAACACACGATACAGACGCATGCATGCACACACGCACCACGCGCGGCGTACTAAGAATCAGGATCCCGACGCGGTCCCCGAGTGCGCTGGAATCCTCGATCGCGACCATCTTTCAGTGCCGCCTCTATCTTCCGCAAACTGGACAGTAACGGTACAGCGTATCTCTCTGACGACGTTACAACCACTGTGCTCGTGTTTCTGACTACTTTAGATCTAACTGCGCGGTTGCTTACCCGTGTATCTCCTCCGCAACGTCCTCCCTCCAGCCTTTGATTCTTCTTAAAATAATTTCGTGAAATGTCACTCTCGACACGCAGCTGTCGGACATTTACCACAACAGTGATGTTATTCCCAATGATCCTCGGGATTCAACTCTGACGCGAGATCGTGTCGAAAGTGAAGCTCACGCCAGCTTGAAATTTTTACTCGCACGCATTTGGTATGTAATTGGCGAATTGATATCGCCGATTCTCAAGCCGTACAAAGCTAAATACGCCTGGATCAGCCTGATAATTAAATCGTTCTTTCACCGGTATCATATAATTTTCACCCAACATCATTAAAAATTGTAATATATGTATAATGGCGCGTTAAAATGTAAATTCACCGTACAATGGTCGCTAGGCCGGACAGATTTAATACCCGGAGAACTTCCGCCAGGCGAATAAATCACGTGGCGGCAAGTTCGAATGCATACAATAAATTCGATTACGGTATAATATAGAGTTCAAAAAATATTGTTATCCCGTTTCAGGATGGATCATTTTACGTTATAAAGTACCTTGAAATTGTGATATATCTCGTGAATATGCGTCAATTTTAATTTAATCCTCGCATATTACTCGTCCCGTTTCTTTACGAGCGATCTTGCACCAAAATTATATGTTGCACATAATGATAGTTATTACTCTGTCCGCTTTGTGCCCATTTTACGTAATCGCTTGTTATGTGTAGATAAATATTATACGAATAATCTGACGCATTAACGTCTTGTGTGTGAAATAAAAAAAAAAGATAGTCCCTGCGCGTGAACTAACCTTTTTAAATTTTACCTCGATGAGCTGTGATAGAACGGTTACTGTCAACTGTATATTTTCGCAGTTGATTGCCATATTACGACTCACACTGATTTTCCGCGCTCCGCTTATTACATTTTTTTCTCATCGATGTTTATTTCCCCTTATCTCGAGTAAGTTATCGTAGGCACTTTATTTGGGATTCTCAAATTGAGAGTAAACGCGTTAACCGGTTTAACCAATTTGAGCGCGTTAAATATTGCATGGCGCAAAGTCAGGAGCTTCCAACTTTTTGACGTAACACTGCGCTACTGTTTTTGCTCATGACGTCAGGAGTGCGTTGAGTTTACGAGGCGCTTAGTTTACGGCTGTTTTACGAGGTGCCGGCCACCGGCACGAGCTACGAATCTCGTAACTGTCAAATCCAAGTGCCATTTACGGGGTCTCCAACGATCTTCGGATATATAGCTACCTGCGACGCTGTTTATTTAATCTAGCCGGTGACACGTATGGATTTATTCGTCATCAACAACACTCGTTATTATCTCTCTTATTGCTTTAGGGAGAACAAAAATATGTATAACATTCTATTATACATATATATATATATATTTTTGTTTTGTTTTCAGTTAAAAATACTTATTTGTCATTATAATCAAGTGTGCCAATTTTCACCGCAGCATCTTATATTTAGAGGTCGCGTTGTTCTTTTGGGACGGACAGAGTCGACACAATCGACCACACGATCCGCTCCAACCGTTCGCGATACATTAAAGCATTAGATAAGAAGCTGTGAAACAAAGAAATTCCCGGTTAGAAGCCATTTTGCTAACTAGAGGCCATCGTAGGTATATGACGTCACTTCCATATCCAGCTATGGCGTCACATGACGCTCCACCCTGTTTTCAATCACCTTGGCCTCGAACCCACCCAACTGTCAGACACGCTCCACCCCGTTTTTTCCTCTTCTTCCGTGTTATCACTATCGCCATCTACCGGAGATATTATGCACTTCTCAGAACCTTAAGTAATCAGTTGGTTTATGATCTTCCCGGTCGATGTCACTGGGCAAATTAAACCTATATATCTACCGGGCATAAATATCTCGGAGTCAAAATAATGTCGCATTCTACTTAGGAGGAGGAACAACAAGATACGTGTGACATCATTATCTGCTCTTCAAATGACTCCACATCCAAGATATATATACTGATATATTTTACCGCGACATCGACATGTCGTCAGCACAGTTTGAGGAACAAATCGACAACGATGATTGAATCCGCGGTAAGCTCGACTATTTTAAGTTAAGGAGGATGCACTTTGCAAAGATGCGGGACTGTGAAAAGTATGTGCCGTTCGCATCAATAGAATTCAGACACTCGCTCTCTTCAGAGGAGGATACATAAAGGGGAATTTACGGGGCGGGAATTGAGTTCAAATCCTGCGAGAGGTAGAATTTATACGCGAGAGGCGAGGAAGAGAAGGGGAGGAGGGGGGTAGTGAGCGCGTGGAATCGCTATCGGCGGCCATTCATCAATCCGTGGAATCAATACGCTGGAATTAATGAAAGCGCCGCGCGAACAGCAAGCTAGCGGCCGGAATGTTAATCGCGATCGTCCCGCGTCCGATCCGTTCTCATGTACAGCAAACTCCCAAGGGCCGCACCTCCCACCCTCTCTCTCGCACCCTTCTGCCTGCTGCGCTGCCCCTTGCACATCCAGGCTCGTTTCTAACCCCCGTGTCTACCATTCACACTGTCATGCTATCCGCAATAGTATCACATGTAATAGACCTATGCAGAAATTCTTTTTTTAATAATGACCTTCAAAAGTTGATAATTTTTTTTTTAATCTCAATATTTTTCACCCCTCTGTTTAGAGTGCTTCTGATATTGCCATATAATATTTGTAAGTCTGAAAGTCGGTTAACATAACATAAATATTGACGCAACCTAAGTAGTAGTAAACATGTTTCTAGATGACTGTTAAATTACGATTACTACGGATCGTTATTCCTCGCTAAACGGATTAAGTAAAAAAATTGGAAGGAAAAGATTGTTCACCGTTAAATGAAATCGTTCAAATATTATTGTTACGGAGTAAAAAAGTTTGTGTGAAATTTCACACATTTCACACGTCCCAAGCGGTTCGCGCAAATTTTTATGTTAACGCGAGGTGAATATATTGAAAAGCAATAAGTATTAGATAAAAAATGAATACAAAATTAATATCCATAATATGTTGATTGAAACTGAAGTATAAAATGTGTTATTTTAACATTTATACATGGTGAATATTGACTCAATATAAAATACTGAGATAACATAAACACAATATGTTAAATTAATACATGGATATATTAGAAATTTAACACAAAAATTTTAACAAGAAATAATTTTAACACAAGTGCAAAATATATTTTACCGTGTATTTGGTAGTTTTAGACTTCATCTTAACGGAAAACTACACTAAAATTCATCGATAACTTTTTCTCTATGCTGTTAAGTTTTTAGTACGAAAAAATCCGTATGTTGTCCGGAAGGTGGCGTAAGGTCATGAAACATAACGAAGAATATTTTTGTTGGAATATATATCTAATTTTTCAAAAATACACATAGTTTACATTATACATATAATATAAACATAAAAACGAAAAGTTTTTGCACATAAATCTAATATATTTTCACGTATATTTCATTTACTTCTGCAAACAGTCGGTATAGAAGGTTTCGACTTCAAATCGGCAGATCGACGTATTCTCTCAAAAGGGAAAACACTTCTCCCTTCAGTCGATAAGACGCTTTTATATTATTACATATTATTATATTATTAATAACAATTCACTTTTGCAAGACAAAAAATTAATATCTGTCGTAATTGTTAATTATTATATATATTATTTATGAAGAGTCAAAATCTAAAATTGTATATGTATACTAACTTTGTTTTGGTCGTTCGAAATCTATATAATTGTAATTATAAACAAGCCAACTATTACGTATCCTGTGTATTTGGTCATTTTCGTTATCAAATGGCGATCTGTCAATGGGTTGTTAACGTACGATTGCAATTATTCAGATTTTTGCAAAACGAGTCAATCATTGCTTAACTACTTAAGATTTTTCTAGTTATTTAATTTTAACAATATCAATTACGCAACAGAAATCTATACGTTTTCTATCATTGAATCGATGTGATACGGTAAAAGTTAAATTCTAGTGCATTTATCCTACCGGCGTACATAACACACATTAGGACCTCTACAAGGATACCGAAAAAAAGATTAATGTAAGAGGGGAGGTTTCGGTGGGGACTTCGGTGGCCATGCTGCTTAATGGATGGGAATTTTTCCAAATTTAACGATCGTTTAGCCCGCCCACACAGAACGCTGTAACAAGTTTGGCGTCTATGTGATGGCCGTCACCGTGACGAGCACGTGTGTGACTCTCCTTCTGTTACTTACAGCTGAACTCCGCTCAGTTCATTCAGTTCACTTGACAAAGATCACGCAAAGTGAGCTTTTAGCCGAACTCGGGACGTTGTATATATTTAAATCTCATAAAAACGGCTTATGTTCTAAATATATTAATATTGTGTATATATATATAAAAAACGTGTGTTTCTCTTGAGTTTCCGCACTAAAAGTAAATCGCAAAATTTCTTACCATTAATCGTGAATTTTCACAAGTATGTTCTTATATGTTCTTCATAAACGTTTTTGTTCATGGCTTTATCTATGTGTGTATGGGTGTGTGTGTGTGTGAAATTTAATAACTTTAATATAATTGCTATCTACAATGAAATGTAAAGTATTAAACGTAAAACACTTTATATTGCGTTTAACATTTATGATACATTTAAGCGTGATTGATGTTACTTTATTATAATATGATATGTATAAAATTTTCCTTTGTCTTTTTACAGGTGCGGCGTAACTTCGATAGTAGGGTGGACAGAAGAACAAAACGGATCTGGAGTAACTTGGCATTTTGAACGAAGGTATCACACCGAGGAAGACGAAGGACTCTGATTATTATCTTCCACCACCACCTCGCATACGCGTTATACTCGTGTCTTTCTCTTTCTCTCTCTCTCTCTCTCTCTCTTTCTCTCTCTCCTTCTCTCTTTCTCTTTCACTCACACTCTCCACACGCTTATTAATGTTTCTGTAGTGCTCCAATTTATAATTTTATCCTCCTTCGGTAGTGAGACCAGTGTGATAAAAAGTCAAATGATGTACATGTGATCCACAATGATGGTGGTATGATATATACATATATATATATAAATATATATACGTGTGCTTGTGTTGTCCAGCAGTGCGTGAGACGAGAAAATTGAGTGAGAAAAAGAAAATTTTACGGAGAAGTGCAATCCCCCCCCCCTGAAGTGATAAATCTGTATCTATATAAACACGTGTGCCAGAGAGAAGTGTGTCCGTACGAAGAGTACAAAGCAAAATAAGTTTACGGTGGAAGAAGGACAGGGAAAAATAATCATAAGTCGGCCGAGGACAACCAAAGGAAAACCAGTCAGCAGCAACGTCGAGAGGGTGACATTAGCAGGTGGGACAGGCGGGAACAGTAGCATGAGTTCGTATTTCGCGAATTCGTACATCCCGGACCTGCGAAATGGCGGGGTGGAACATCCGCATCAGCATCAGCAGCACTACGGTGCGGCCGTACAGGTGCCTCAGCAGACACAATCAGTTCAGCAGCAGTCTCAGCAAACCAGCGATCCGTGCGATCCGAGTTTGTTACGTCAAGGAGTCTCTACCCATCATTATGGAACCACGGGAGGTCAACAGGACATGCCTTATCCGAGGTTTCCCCCGTACAACCGGATCGACATGCGGAACGCGGCTTATTACCAGCATCAACAGGAGCACGGGAGTATGGACGGCATGGCCGGTTACAGGTCGACGTCTCCGAGCACCGGTATGGCTCACATGGGACACACGTCAACCCCCAACGGACATCCGTCCACGCCCATCGTCTATGCTAGTTGCAAGCTTCAAGCGGCCGCTGTCGATCATCAAGGTAGCGTCCTCGACGGGCCAGACAGTCCTCCACTCGTCGAGTCCCAGATGCATCACCAAATGCACAGCCAGCACCCGCATATGCAGGCGCAGTCATCGCAACATCCGCAGCAGCAGTCGCAGCACCAACATCTACAGGCGCAGCAGCAGCATATGATGTACCAGCAGCAACAATCTCAGACCACGTCGGGACAACAGGGACAAAGTGGTGGTATGCACCCGCAACAACAGCAACAAGCTCAGCAGCATCAGGGCGTTGTCGCGTCACCGCTCAGTCAACAGCAACAAGGCGCGTCCCAAGGTGCAGCGTCTGCAAATATACCGAGCCCATTGTACCCCTGGATGAGAAGTCAGTTTGGTGAGTTCGATATCTTTCTTAATGCCTGCAATGGTCGCGCAATCTTATTCTTTTTTCACGTCGAGGTCGCAACTATTGTCTCAACAGGCGTTCACGGGTGAAGGGTCGACTAACGTGGAAATATTCATCCGTGAGGAAAATATGCGATTTTGTCAATGAAACGCGTCGAACTTTCCGGGATTCGTTGAGATCTTGTCGAGAGAATTCCCCTGAAAATTACAGCCACAAAATACAAATAGTTATTTTTAATGCGGCGATACGCCGGAATTCATCTGAAAAATGTTCTTTTACATGGCATCGTGCCTAGTAGGATAAGCGTGGAATACGTGACGCCACTTTTGAAAATAAGATCAAGGTTTCACTCGGTGCGTGACCAAAAGATTCGTAGAAAGCTGAGTTTCTCGTAAGGCATCTCAAATAATAGTAACCCACTCTTGAATTTATGCAACGCCGCGTAGAACAAATCCGTACGGCGGTCGACTCACGATTGGCACAATGTCTCTAGTTTCACACTGCAGACACGGTTATTTATTGCATTGACATTTGGCCTACCTGCCTACTGGTTTCACGACGCAGAAAGACCAGGTCACAGTAAGAGTTGTCTTTTGCTCCTTTCCTGCGCGTCGGTCGCTGCTTAAATCCCCACAAAGTCGACATATCCACTTTTGTCCGTGAGACCACACATTGCGTTTGTCTCGACGGTCTAATTTCCTATTGTCTTATCCCACCGACATGCTATTGAGTGGTGATACTTTCTTAAAATATATTTTCTTAAATTAGCGTTATTCAATTCATTTATTACATTTATTCCTATTCAGGTGACAATAGTAAAATTTACATGATTACAAAGACAACACGCTCGATTCGATTCATTCGTAGTCGGTAGCGGGAGTCGTCTGTGTTGCATTCTCGGGGACAGTTTGACAGATCTTCCCACATTTTTCATCATTCTGAACTTTCGAGTGATTTATGGTGGCCGTGACCAGATGATGATAGGCCGTTCACCGCCATTAAAGCAAAAGAGTTCGTAAATGTAGACGACAACTGAACAGGTTGTGGAACCCCGCTGACTACACACCGATATCCTTGTTTCTTCATTGATCTATGGTTTCCGACATTGGGGAAACGCAATAACCCTACAAGGCCAAGATCCACTTCAGACAAAACTGTAACGAACTACTTTTAGTCCTTGCTTTCCTCGTACTTTAGTCGCTCGTCGCTTCTGCTGGAGGCAACTTCTCTCTCTGCTCTCTCAGTTCTTTAAGTATAAATTTAATACAGATTGGATATATTTTTTTCATTAATTGGTGCGAGTGAAATGATGCGTACATGTGCCTTAGCAATTTGAAGATAAAAAGTCATCGATAATTTTTTGGATATCGTTTCATCATTTGGAAGTGTATATTTTCCGTAATGTACGTCGATCGAAATAACTAACAATCCAAAGGAATTAGGCTTGGTGAATAAGTTTGGGGTGCGTAATAATATTTTACATTGATATAGTAGGTGAGATTTACTAGACGCTTCGAAGTATTCTAATAACACAATAAAGTCATTAATATTCTGTAGGAAATAAAATTTGAAATATATGAAATATTAAGTTAATTACATTTATTATCGTTTCTTTTGTAAACTTAGCAGTATAAAATTCTACCGGTGAAAAAAACTGTACGGTTCCTTTCGCTGATAAAATACCAATTTCTTCTAATTTTAACGGTTGTTATATCGGCATTCAGGCCAAAATTGATTAATTCGACATCTGTGATATTTTGAAGTTTAAAAGTAGAAAGAATGTCTAACATATGAACTTAATTTGTTAGCATCGCATTTATCATTATTCTCTGAGATTATGTTAATCCCTATGTCACGTTATGCGGTTTCTGTTCTATTACAAAATAATATTATTTGAAAAACACGAGAGAATAGAAAAATACTTGACTTTAGACAAAAGTTATTCTACATTTTAACGGGAGGAATTCGCGCGCGCGTACATCTAAGATTTCCGTCGAGAGATACTCGTACCATCTTTCGGTGAAGTTCAGAAGCTGATCCCAGGTATCTGCTTGAGGATTGGCCGATAAACAGAACGGTTATGACGACGACGTGGCTCGTACTTTACTACCAGTTAACGAAGAAAACGAGCTCGAGTCCCTGAACGTGTCCACAGATGTCGGCACATATAAGAATGCTCCGTCGCATTTTACGACTTTATTTCCTTGCAAAATTAATTTTGTGCATACATTTATTCAGCTGCCATGATTCTAAGTAATTTTCTTACATGAAAATGCATAAAAAGAGACTCCATCGTTTCCTTTTTTTTTTTAGAATACATATTCAATTAAATTCTTCTAAAATTATTTAAGAATAATCTTATTAATAAATCCTCATCACTCATTTGAAAGGTTTTTAAATTGTCGTTATATAAAAAAAACGACACTAAAATATTATTACACGTCTCGTCGATAAGATTCGGAAATTTTGCGATATTTTATTGTCTTTGATAACATAATAGTCCTGACGCCAGCCTCATTACACCGACCAGGCATTCCAGATTAGACATCCCAAGTCCAAGTGTTGACCCGAGGAGAAAAGACCGTTCATCGATACCCGCGATGTTTTTAATGCATGAGATAATTGCGATTCCCCACGTGAAAAGATTTATGGCGTCTCTCCATTCCTCCCTTACGTATCCCAGTCGTTTCTTTCCCCTCTTCCCCGTCCCTCATTAAACGTGTGTGATATAGTTATATACATGTGAGGTTTCCGTTACTGTACACACACGTATGTATATGTATATACATAAAGTCATGTGCACGATATATTCATTATACGAAGTAAGTTAAAACGCAAATTGTGCTTCTTCTTACAATTGACAGTGGAAAACAATAGTAAACGAAACAATAGATCTTGGTTCAATGATATCTGACTCCCTACGACATTATTCTTCCCCGCTGGTGTAACTATGATTTCTCTCCTTTCCCCTTTTTTTTTTCTCTCTATACAGAACAAAAAAATATTCAATAGATCATACATATGCAAAATTCGCGGCAACATCTTTGGGAATAAATCGAAAGAGCGGATTCAAGAAAGCAAAAAAACTAAAGGAATCAACGTGTTAAACGTCTGAAATGCATTTCATTATAATCAAGCTAACCGTTTCCGAGTTGGTGGTCAGTAGTGATGGCGGCTTCATGAGATATTCAGGAAAAGATGGAGTTTCAAAGGGAGGGGGAAGGAGGAGTGCTGAAAAAAAAGATTGTAAGATATTTGTGTGTATGTGTGTATACGTGTGAGAGAGAAAGAGAGTCAGAGAGAGAGAGAGAGAGAGGGCGGGGGGGGGGAATAGGAGGAGGCAGAAGGAACGGATGATGATGAATGAATCCACAGAAATTCTGGGACCGCTCGCTTTTGGGGCTGCGCCATGAAGGCGATCTTGAACAGTATGGAGGTCATGGTTTGAATTTCTATCCGATATATCTGCTTAAAATTTATCAAACGTAAAATTACATTTCTTTCCTGATATCGATTCGATTTATTTGGATGATTAACATGCAACAATTTGAGTTCTTGTTTAAAACGAGAAGCCTACGTTTATCGTGATCCGGTCTCGTATTTTACGCGACGGCCGTATTGTTCGCGTCTGGACGCGAACGCTCGCAAAAGAAAATGAATTTTAATGCCTCAAGTGGTACGTAAGGATGCATATGTCGCGGCGAATCATTCCCGCTGCTCATTATCTCGACCTCTACCTCGGGTCTTTTAGACTCCGTCTTCTCGTCCGACTGTCTGTTCGTCCGCTGGGAAGAACAAAAAAAAAGACAACGAAGGCGAGAGGGGAAGACCGCCTATCTGATACTCCGGTCTCCTCGGGGCTTTCTAAACTCCCTCTATGAGTGTTAACGGGCTTGGTGCTTTTCTTTCTCGCCGGCAACTCTGTGAAATCCCTTTTGAAGTTGCTTTCGGGGTTCGATTGAAGTACTTAAATTAAACTAATTTCACATTGAAGTTAAAATTGCAATCCCCGATGAATAGTTACGTGTGTCTGTGTGGACGCGGTGAAACTGGTTTGCAGATTACGGCGATCGGAAAAGTAAATAACAAGATTTAAGCAACATCAAATTTAATAAACAAGCAATTTAAATAATAACCGAACCGATTAATCACAGTCAAGTATTTCAACATAGTAATAGTCTTACGTTCTCAGTGATTCTAGGCTATAATTATGACATTGCACAAGTCTTATTGCTACGTATCGCTATATGTTACGGCTCTAATGTCTCAGAATTCAATTTACTGCATTCTTGATTAAGGATCACTAATATGTTAATAAAGTGACATGTGATTAGGGGGGAAAAAATGAAATATGTAAATATAACATATGTGGATAAAATGAGGAATTTTAAGTAACGAAATATAACAGTAAAAAAGGTAGAAAAAATTAAATTTACGAATACGATATTTCACAATTTAGATTTAATAGGATTTTTCTTTATTATTAATACCGCACCAACTCCGTTTACTCGATTCGCTACGAAATAAATGTGTGCCTTGCGTCAGAAGAAATTTAACGAAAACAGCGCAGTATGGAGGGAGGCAGAACGGAAATATAAAAAAGAAGATAGATCGCTCGGCTTAAAGTATGTTAAAACTAAAGTGCATGGAGAAAGAGAGAGAGAGAGAGAGAGAGAGAGAAAACTACCAGTACTCTGATCACGTGTGTGAAACAAAAGAAATATACGAGAGAATTAAAGGACTATTATTTCCTACACTTATTCATTTCGAAGCGAATGTAATTTGCACGAATTCCGAATATGCGACGGAAGTTTTGCTTACGATCGAAATTAAAAAAGAAATTTCCTTTTAACCGCGGTGAGAGAGACTAATGAGATCATCCGTCCTTTTTCCCGAAACATTTCGACAGAAGTCTCGATTCGGGTGTCCGTTAATAGCGTGGACGTGTATAATTCGCGGCTCATGTCTGAGGCGAGCGGATGATAAAATTAATAGTACATCTGGGGTATATCTAATCGAAGAGTGTGTTTCAAGGTCTGGCCTTAAGGTGCCCACGTAAAGCTTAGCTTAATTGGGCAGCGAGTGGTGGCCGCGCCTTATTAGCGGGTTACAACATCCGGCTAGCTGTTAATCTGAAAAGTCCTGCGTATATCCTGCGGCGGGCCTGAAAGACCAGTCCGGGACAGGGTAGGGAAGCGGAGATGCGGAGCAACTAGCCTATAATAAGCCGCGCGCGCGGTTGTGTATGTATGTATGTTCTGTTCTGTTTCGTTCCTTCATGCTGCGCCAGTGAAGGCAGACCCATAAATCTCCCGGGCATACTCCAGGGGACATTTGATCCTTGCGTAACCCAACGCCGTTAATTTATTGCCCCGCGTTTAAAGTCACCTCCGTCCGCGAGAGCCGTAGTAGTGGTAGTAATGCCGGTACACACCGGCGCAAACTTAGGCCATCGGCGCGACTTTCTTATTATTATTAGGACCTTCTCCGTGTTTCGCTACCGCGAAAACCCTCAGGAATGTCCACTGTATCGCGAGAAAGACAGAGGCGAAATTACGTTATCGCGCTGGCGACAATGTCGNCGGGGGGGGGGGGGGGAGGCCTCCCCCCGACACCTGGAAACGTGCTCGTAATAATATTACCGCGCTGCACCGCCTAATTCTCCGAACCGGATGCGCTTGGGAATCAAGATCGGCGGCGATTTCGATGATCAAATCGACCCCCGGCCCCGCGGAGCTTCGCCTCGTAAATAACGAAGTATCGTCGATGCAACGTTTAATAATTCATTTCTTCGCTCTTCGGCAAAGAGAGTCTAATGACACGGGGGAGATTTATACGCGAGGTGACCTTTCGAGACAAACCTGATTATTACGCCGCGCCGCCACGGGATTATCTCCATGCTCGAACTGATCGCGTGAGTGCGTGCTTCGGATAGCCCTTTTCGAGCGCAAAATATGCTCGAGTCTCCGTTCTCCGTGTGTAAGCAATTTCGGAGTAACGGATGGATATTGCTGCTCGCTACTCAATTATTGCTACTTGTACAGCCGATACTTAGAGACGGATCTGTAAGACGGTAGTATCGAAAAGTCGATCTCTCTTATCGGAATCGGCGAAGGATTAAAGCGGAACTCCGTGTGATTAATTTCATTTAATCACGCGCACGACGCATCGACTTACGTTTCGCACGGTATAAATAAACTCGCTCGACCACGAATATAGATCGGAATTTTCCGGGTGTTAGCGGCCGGCCGCTCGTAACATGTTCCACGTACTCCGCGGACGCTTTGATGATTTAACCCGAGAGATACGGAGCATGATCTTCATTAACGGTTTGACGAATGAGTATTAATATGATGCAGCTTTCACGGAACGGTCGACGGGGGGTCGGTTTGACGGTGACGATATTTCACTCGGGTGTTTGTTGCGCGGTTATCGGACGGTGGATGTTTTTGAGAATACGGTGAAATTCATTATTACCGCCCACGGCGATTTGCGTGCTCGCAACTTGATTGATAATTATTTTCCCAACGTTTGTTCTTATTATTCCTCGGCGTGGCGGTAAATGAATATCCCCGAGACTCCGGTAAAACTATAGAAGTTGACCAAATCGTTAAGGCTTATAAGAGAGCGCTAGAGAGATTGGTATGTTGTTAATTTGAGAGCGTAGCCTAAGGGAGGGAATAAGAAAGCATGTTCCCAGCCTCCTCCGTCTTCCTCCTCCTTTCTCTCTCTCTCTCTCTGTTACGCGCGCTTTTTCTCTTCCTCTGTATCTTCTTCTCTTCGTCCGATCGAGGGGTTCAGGAACCTACGCGATCTCTCCATCTCTCTCCGGAGCAAAACCGCTATCCATCTTCATCGGCCGACAGCACGACGGGCGGCGTTTGCCTCGAATACTCGCCAAGGAGTTTTCTTCTCCTCCTCCTCCTCCTCCTACTTCTTCTTCGTCGTCGTCGTCGTTGTCGTCTTCTTCTTCTTCTCCTTCTTCTTCCCCTTCTCACTTCCCAATTCTCATCCCTAGGCCTCCTCCTCTTCTGAAATATTCCCGTTTTGCTCTCTCGCACTCTCGCGCGCGCGGCGGGCTAACCCAACCTAACCTTTTGAGGTTATATCTCATGAAGTTGTGAGACTTCACACACAGAATCAACTTCCTCTGTCTCCCTGGTACCCCGCTCAGTCTTTTCCACCTCTCTCGCTCTCCTGGCAGCTACAATTAATATTCTTGTTCGGGATTCGTGTACCGCGCACCGACCGCAGATCATGTCACGGATATCGTAAAGGTATCTATCATATGCGGAACTGCATCCACGACTCCCGAGGACTTTTTAACTCACACCCGCGGAGAGATATTTTCGTTTCGTTGAAATTTCCAGAAACCGGCCGACCGGTTAGATCGACACGGCGCGGTATTTATGAAATATCACAGGCTAACCGGCCTGTGTGAGCGGTGGCTTAAAGAGCGATCCCGGGCGCTTCTTCATCAGCCGCCGGCAGTGCGATCCCGAAATACTAATTCGGCATTACCGATTTTCTTCTGTTGCAGAGAGGAAACGAGGTCGGCAAACGTACACGCGATATCAGACGCTAGAACTGGAAAAGGAGTTCCACTTCAACCGATATCTCACCAGGCGGCGACGTATCGAGATCGCTCACGCGCTATGCCTGACAGAACGGCAGATAAAGATCTGGTTTCAAAATAGACGGATGAAGTGGAAGAAGGAGAACAAAACGAAAGGCGAGCCGGGCTCAGGTGATGGCGACACAGAAATCTCGCCGCAGACGTCGCCGCAGGGTTGAAAGAGCTCCGAGGAGTGGAACTTCTAAAGAGGTCTCATCTCTCTCAGGGTCGTTAATACCTTGTTTCCAGCACTACCTCTTCCCCCCACCTAAAACTCCAGTCCCCGTCGATGACCTCCAAATGACCCCTCAACAGCAATGACGCTTATTTTGTCGTGTTAATCATGTTGCTTGTACCAAAAAAAGAAGGAGATAAGGATGACGGCAGGAGGAAATAGTGGAAGGAACCCGTAAGAGTGGCCGATGACGAATAAGACGGGCGAGAGAAGGGAATTACGAAAGGGTGACGTGACGTGCGTAGAGGAGCAGGGAAGGGCAGCGAAACAAAGCGAAGAGCGCACAAATCAGAGTCAGCGGAGGATTTGCGGAGATGTGCATGACTTTAATGTGGATCAAGATAAACGAAGAAACGGAAGAGAGAGCAAAACTGGATCACATGCTAATCAGAACCGCATTAACCTCTATTACGTTTAATCAAATGTAATTGTACTAAAGCCTATATAGAGATATGGATTAAAAAAAAAAAAGATGTACGTAGTTTAATGCGAAATCGCGAGATCGATGGCAGTAATCCAAGTAGAAACGCATGTTGAGAATACGTGGTATTCGGAGTGATAGATGTAAAAGAGCTAAGTCCGTTGAGAGAGAATGAAAATATGTGCGTGAACCCATTGTGCGTGATAGAGAGAAGAAGAAGATGATGATGAAGAAGAAGAACCGCGTTGAAATCTTAGGAGAGCATTTTATTATTTATTCTCTTACGCCGTACTTTGTAGAGCCGGTAGGACGGTTAGTAGATTAGGCAGTACGAAGATGTCCGTCGCGTCTCTATTTAGCGGTAGAGATAAGCGGTTTAGTGTTCTTAGAGGAACTCGTTTAGATAGATCTTTCTCTAGTACCGCGGTGGCTCCAACAAGGAATATTTAACATTCGTGCCAAGTATGATTTTCCGAACGCGTTTCTCGTATTTTAATAAAAAAATATCTGAGAGAGGGTCCGAGCAACGCCAGGATATAGCCGTGATACGAAGAGAAACAAATGGAATCGAACAAAAAAAAAAGAGAAAAGTATAGACAGAGAGAGAGAGAGAGAGAGAAACACAGTGCGGAGGAAGAAGAGGAGAATCACACACGGGAGTTCATACGTCTAACCCTGATAACCCAAGTGAAACAAGTGCGTGCAAAATCAATTCCATTGAAATTCAGTGATTTCTCGGGTGTGTCAATCTGAACGATCACGAATGGATGTTTCGAATATTGTAATACGGATCGGCGGCGGCATGACCGTGGGACGGGATAGATTAGTGCTGAATGATGAAAGTGAGTTTGAGGAAACCGCGCCCTTCGGCGGAGCAGAGAGTCAAGCCGACTTGGCATTTCTTCATCGGCGTCATCGCAAGGTTAGTCTTATTGAATGAACATTGCTAGCGATACACACAATTATCGGTTACGTTAGATACGCAAATATCTCCCGTTGGATCGTTCGCATAACTGATAAGAACAGTTAGCCCCCCTCCCCCGCGTTTTCGACGTAACAAAGACACACACACACACACACACTTCTGTCTCTCTCTCTCTCTCTCTGTGTGTATGTGTGTGCGCGCGTGTGTGTACTTTATTACGCGAGTTTTACTTTACACACAACGCACCAACTTGGAGAAAATGCTTTCGCTACTTGTTTTTATCACGTGCGCCGAAGAAACGTCTGTTTACGTTTGCTGACCGATAATTGAGATGATTTGCTCGTATCATGCACATTGCTCAATATGACGGGTACGATAACGATGTACATAGGCAGTCCTCTTTTAATGAAAACGTGTCTGTTCGGGGGAGAATGAGAAAAAGGAAAAGAGATATTTGAATGTTCAACTTACGCGGCGTATGTTTATCGTATATTCTCGAACGAATGTAGAGAACGTTTTATTTGATCCGGACGCGATATCTTTTTGTCATTAACTATTATTGTAAGTAGCCGAAAATCAAGCGACTTGTGCTTATAAATTTATATATTTAATTTTAGAAGTTTGCGAAAAAGGTCAATTCGACGTTAAGGGTGTATAAATGTAATAACGCGATGTATAATATCTTTTACGATGACGGACACGTCGCTGAGTGATCTCGATTTATTTCCTTTTACGCTGCTTCGAAAGCGGAAGACATGCGGGGTAGCGGTAAACTCATATTCGTTTGCAAAGAGAGACTATCCTTTTCTGTAAATATTTCATGAGGAAAAGAGAGAGGAGCCGGGAAAGAAGGAAAGAAAGGGAGGAAAAAGTCAAGACGGGAAAGACACGAATCTGTCCTCTGCACATTTAGTAGTGATCGAAAATTTAACTCTTGCTCCGCGCGACGTGACGCCAAGTTACCAAGTGTTGTAATACGTAGTATATTTTCGGAATAGGATGCTTTCAGCATGAGACCGCTTGGCACCTTGATAACGACTCGCAACTAAGTTCAATTGTAAGCGATTCCCCGTTTACGATCACGGAGAGTATCACACGAGATACGCGTCATTATTATTACTATTATTGTTCCAAATTCGCCACATCGTCTTACTTGAGTTCGCCGTTGTGTCGTTTTCTTTCTTCGTTTGCGCATAGCAACTTGTGACGTAGAATTTCCCCATCCCATTCGTTTTCCCGACTGTTCTTCCAATACATCGCGATATATCTCCCTCCCCCCTCCCCGTTCCCCCTGCTCAGCCGCTTCGCGGGTGATAAAGGAAGGCACAAATTAAGAAACCGAGGGAGAACGTTTAATGACGGACAGCTCGAGAACACGAGAACGATCGCGCGCCGGCAATTATCACCGGCGCGTATCGGCTGCGATCTCGCGTTCGCGCGCGATATGTCTGCATGCGTGGTTTCGCCAGCTCGTGTGAGATTCTCTCTCTCTCTCTCTCTCTCTCCTCTTCTTCTTCCGCTCTGAACGCTCGTTGTCCGAGAAAGATCAAACTTCATTCGTCTTCTTCGTGTTCCTTCTCACCGCGAAAACCGCGATTACGGACGCGGAGATACGATATCGCTCTCATGATCGCGACCGTTTTTGTTTCTGCTGCTTATCCATCACCGGGGAGAGGCGGTTTATTAAGCGTGGCAAGCGGTATCAGAGCGCGCTCGTCGAGCAACTTCGTCAATGGACACCTGGTTCGATCGATTCGATAATGCGCCGTAAATCGGTAGATCCGGAGAACTCGGGCGGGCGAAAACGTGCCCCGGTATACTCTCTCCGCCGCGGCGAATTCTGTGCTGTGTTGTAAACTTAGATTCGACATAATTATTTAGTTTGTACCTTGTATACACAACAATTTGACGGTATACGCGCGTATACACGTAATAAGCGACGTTAAGACTACCAGTACTCTCGAAGATTGCGTAGTAGTCGTCGGCGTACGGTCGAAGTCGATGTCTGGCCGCGGGTAGCCGCATTTCTAAAATCCGCTGTTGCACGGGAATCCGCTCTTCACCGTTTTCGCATTGTGGCAAAAGAATGGAAAAGGGGCGAAGGGAGCGGCGACACGACCCTGTAAACCCTGTAATCGATATACGTAACACATGGTCCGGCTCGCACTCGCGCGTTGATCGAGCAACCGACCAGCCTTTCCTTTTTCGAGAGATTTATTTATGCAAAAGATCCTTTGTCTTTGAGGAACAACGAACTAAAAGCGGGAAGCCTCGGCGGTCGCTCACTGTCGCCCACGTTTCACAACGGCATTCGGAAATTGCAGAACTGACTAATTGCCGGTTTCGTAAAAGAAAAAGAAAGAAGACATTTTTCTGTCACACGGCTTCGTTTTGTGATTCCTCGTCTAATTTTAACCTGCAAATTATTCAATCGCGAACTCTTTCATCGTGATTGCCCGACGAACTGTTTCTGTGGACGCGTGATGCGTAACCTTGCACGTTTGAAATGGATTTTTCGGTGTTTCACTGTAAATAAACCATGTGTGGATTAACTTCGATTACGTCAATCGGTGATACGATTTGTGTGTGAGTCGAATAACAGCCGGTATTGAAACGCAAAGAGGAGGATATATATATATATCGCTCATGGCCATCTTATCATATTGTGTTACGACATTGTGACCAATGTTCTGGGCAAGTGTTTAATTTCACGAAAAGACTTTGTTTCGAGGTAAATAGAAGCGGAAAGTGATTCATTCATAAACGCTCGAAATATTTATCAAGATGATGCGCTCTGAAGAAAAGTTTAAATTTCAGATATAATAGTCCCGAATTTGATTAATACGCTTCCGACTTGGTCATGATACGTCGAAGAAGTTGTATATTTCAAGAAGAGAATATACATTGTTGAATGATACAATGGTCCTCCCCGTGCAAACCGCAGCCATCGTGAGCGATCGCCGTGAACACGCGAACATAATGAAAGCAAAATAAAATTTTGTATCCATTGGATAACGAATTATATTATTGTAGACATAAAAATACATATGAACGCGCGAAATGGAAATTCATAGTATTAACTGGAAGAAACAAAATGTAAATTATATATTTTATCTCTACTCGTATATATACGCGTAAAATTACAGAATATACGTAAATTAAACCAAGTACTGTTAGTGTATGCAAAGGTAGAATTAAAAAAAAAAAGCTGAACGTAAATGCAACAGCGCCTATGTACGAAGTATGTCACTAAGATAACTCGTAATCGATAAACGTAACATCTAAAGTCTAATTCATTAAAAGTTAAGGTTAATAATGTTTAGGAAAACGGGCATGTCAGTCGCAATGGGCAGGGGCGGCGGTCGTGAGACGGTAATTAGAGATTTTCGCCCAAATAAAAGAGAAAGAAAAGTAAGAGGGAAAAGGGAGAAGCCGTATCCGCCATTTAACGTACACATATGGGAGGTGCGCAATTCAAATTTTATTTATTATTGTCCACGGTATGCGGGAGAATGACGGCACTTGCAGAATTGTACATAACTCCGATCTTTCTAACTAGGTTACGCGCGAAAAACTCTACGAGATAAGTAGAACAAAGAAACGAAGAAATATAAGAAATAATGCTTGTCAACGAACGAGTAGCTTTCAGACCGTAATATTATTTAGCCCGATACTATTTATTGATACTATGTTATATATATATAAACGCAAAGTGGATTTTTCTGTTTGTTTTATTGATTATACAATAAATATTTTTTACAATATACTAGATAAGTTGTTGTAGGTCTCTTTGTATGTACCACTTACTCTAACACTTCCTTGAACATCTCTAACGGAATATGATAGTGACTAATAGACATTACGAAGTCGTATGCTGACATTGTGTTCTTGAATATTCAGTTAGACTTTCTATTCGGATTATTGCACGTAGGTTGTGCGAAACAAAAGTGATATGCGTTGAAAAATAATACATGTTTCTCTCTCTCGTGCATTTGTATTTTGATACTTTATCTCTCATTTAGCTCTGAACTCTCCTTCATTCGAGCCACGAAAGATCTTGCAAAAGTATTACGTTTTTTACCGTGCAAAAGGTTGAATCTCTTAGCGGTCTATATAACCTCGTCCTCGTGCGCGAATGCACCGAAGAGTTCCTGACTACCTGTCGCACTTTAGGCGCGGGTGTCATTATAGTTTCATATATCTTTTAGATATTGTATTTCTATTCAAATATGTAAAATATATAAACGAGCAAGCGGAAGTCCCTCGCCCCCTTCACTTCATCATTCACATACCATTTGGCATTTTGCGTGTAACTGTAACTTAAGCCTATATTTGTGAAGAACTCGACCGATATTGTTTCTTATGCGTTGAATAGAAGAGCTGATAGAATCTCAGTGTATCCTGACACGCAAAACACAGTATATATACGCATTGGATTATATCTCACTGATTTCACGTTTCGACGATAGATCAAATGCCTGTAAATTTTGTAAGATGCTAAATTGCTCGACACTTATTGTACACTTCATTTAATACCCGAACCACACTTCGATATAGGTGTAAATGTAAAAAGAGGAAAAAAAAATCAAGGCATTATAGGTGTATCGCTTACGTAATCGCAACTAGAGAGGAGATTGTCATAATCACACACACCTTAACAAAAACGGATCCTTTGCAATTTCGAACTTTTTCATTTGAGATTTGCGGCCTCATCAATTATAGGTTCCGCCATGTGAAGACTGATAGACCCCGTAATGCGACGAAAGAATAATGTATACTATAATAGTCGCTACAAGAAAACATCCAGACATAATTATTTAACGATATAGGCAGAAGTAATTATTTAACAGTGTACGGTGCGTTTGAATGAACTGATTATCTGAAAAAAAAGAAAAAAAAGAAAATTTCGCAGGTTAAGAACCAATTTAGAATGGCATTGTGCTCGTGAAATATCTTTTCTTGCGAGTCCAGTCGAGTTGGAAATACAAGCAATAAACGTTAACGGAGTTGCTCTGGCTTTCGTTGTCCGACGTCTCAGAGGATACATGGCAAACAAGATGCATTTGTATATAATTAGTCACGAAACTAATACGGACGAAGATCTTTGTCCTTTTCACTTTATTTTTATTATCGGCAGGGCAATGTGAATAGCGACGTCTGACGTCGCGGCATCGAATCGCGAGCTGCGACCCTGTATACGATACCGCGTAGGTAAAGTAGGTACCTGTTTACTATACTAAAAGAAACCTTACAAAGTAACGGTAGCAAAAGTCTAATTAATTACTATTTATTGATACGGTACTTTAACGATATATGCCCGTCGTTGGGTTTCTCGAGTAATCCGGTTACTCAGTAACTCGACGAATGACTAGTGTAAAAAAGATTGACAATATTTCGAGAGCCGCAACGTTGTCGTCCGCTGAAGTACTTACGGTCGCTCCAGTGTGTTGCACGTCCGTGGTTTTCATTATAAATTCGACTTATTTCCCAAATTTCACGTGAAGCTTCGACGTGTATGCTCAATTTCACTATCTATTATCAAGTACTCGATTCGATGAATATATCTTGAAGTGATTTAAGTGAGAGAACGAAACGACAGAAGTACACTTTCTAATTTGATCTGGACTAACAAAACTTTTTCTAGACCCGTATTCGTAGTCGAAAAATCATATCCAAACTTAAGATTGACTTGACAAAATCTCGAGCAAAGTCTTACTTACGTAATGTATTCATAGTTCTGATTCCGGATCAGAGATATTTGAAAAATTACCTCTGAAAAATCTGATCGATCAAGTAATCTTTTCTTTAATATAAGTATCGTTTTAGATACAATTCAAGTTAAATACTTTATTCAAGTTAAATAGTTTTTATTAGTCATTTTTATTAGTCAAACTTAATCCTTCTGTTAGTAAGAGCGTCTACAGTCGCTTTCAACGACCGCTCAAACAACCACTAGACGTTGAGAGTGACTATAGTTACGCGACGAGCAACGATCATTCATACTATATGGCTGTTTTTCGGCCGGACTTTACCGTGGCGAAAGGTCAACCACTCTATTGCTGAAACGCAACAACACATATCGCTATAATCAATGCAAATGATATTAACACTGAATATTTAGCTGCCACGTCACTTAATAGCGGTCATTAATATAAATAAGGATGTTTCAGATAAGGCTTTCGACAACTTGCTTAGACGATAATTTTTATTATGAATAATGATTTTGTTTACAACTTAATTTTGTTTAACTTGCACTTAACTTATTCGTCAATAAGTTTGTGTCAACTATGAATACTCTTATGTACTTAAGACGTTACTTATATATCATAAACGAGCCGTAACTTTAATAATGATATACCAAATACTTAACCAGGTACATCCTGAAGCTAAGTTCGAACATGAATGCTATTTCGTCTTAGCATAGTAAATATCATTCGTTACTTAAGTTTCAACACAAAGCTTCAGCAATATATCGAATGGTATATTTAAGCACTGGGTCTTATTTCTTCCAAGTAAATTTGAATTATGAATACGGGGCCCTCGGTAACCTAGTAACACTGTACTAATTGCACTGTATGTATCATATTTCACGTTTATAAGAATTATTAATATAATTTTCACCGAGTACAATCATACCCAGGATCGTTAGAAATGACAAAAACCGGCTCGTAATTGCGAGAAACAGGCACCGGTTGTGTACAAACAAAAGACAACAATCTGGAAATCACCGCCACTACTTCGCTCAGATGAAAGGGACATTATGTCGATTCTATAGTGATTCGCGCTACCGCGTTTCCCTGAAATCATGACATACGAGCCACGATTAATTTCGCTATCTCTTTGTTAGTCACACACTTGAGTCACCATGGTTACGTGAACGCATTGCCCCGACCGAAAGCGAAGTATATGTATTATATATTCTACATACTGCGCGCACACGTGTACACACACGCACACACACAAATACAAAGATCACACAAACTATATTGCCCATTTACAAACGACCGGGTACAATGCATTCGTTCGAACGATTGTGCGGAAAAGAAAAGAAGAAGAATACTTAAATACAGGTGTGTGCCTAGCAGCCGAAACCAAACACGGGCAACACTGCTTTATCGAATGGTGAATCGGAGAGAAAGATATAAATAAAAATGAGTCTATATATATATATAAATTATATATATAAATACATATATATATAAATATATATATAAATATATTTAAATATAAATATATATACGGTACTATTATGGCTACAATAAACATACACACACACACACACACACACATACAGTTATTTTGTAGTGTCTCGCATTATGTAAACTACATGTATACATGAGATACAAGCAGCGGCGCGCGGTGTTGATGACGACTGCAAAATGATAAACAGTGTCTACGCGAGTGAAGTATGTATTATGAATAATGGCGAGGACGATAACGACGACGGATGGATAATAGTCTTATATGCTATCATGTCGACGAGTCTAAACTGTATTGTATTATATTAAGAGAGTCTGTCCATATTAATAATAATAATAATAATTATATTAATTATAATAGCTGTGTTTGAAAACAAAAAATAAATTGTGGTTGAATATGAAGTAGGCTGTGATAAAACGTAGCTGTCCTAAGTATCGTGCCCTCCTTATTATTGCCATCATCATCATTGTAACGTAACACGACCCTGAACGAAAAATCATCCTCCGTACACTTGAATCATCCGCTTCACGGGGGGGACGACGGTCGATCGACGGCGAATCGACGGGGTTTGTCCGTTGGCGTGAAATCACGATTTCTGTACTGATACGAAGATATCACGATCGGTACGCCACTGGATTCCTTTTGAAAAGATAGCCCGGTGTATACCCGGAGGTTGCGTTTATACGAATTGCGGCGGAAGGAACCATTGTATAATCCAAGATGGCCTCCACCTTGGAGAGGATTATTATTGGCTAATACGAAGCAAGAGGCCCCGCCTTGGCTCACGGCTCGTGACGGGATGATTTATTGGGATTTCTGTCTGTTCGCCCTCCGTTACAACGAACACATCGTGCCTAGCTCGCCTAGATGGTAGGTATGCTTGGGCTTGCGATATTGGATTTCGACATCCCGACAAAGTGCAGCTGCAACCACCTCGCCACGACGGACGTCTTCATTCCGAGTGTCCACGTGCAGTCCGGCATGCCTCGAATGTCACGATGTCAAATCTAATATCAAATCACGCGGCTTTCATTCCGGTTCTTTTTCTTTTTTCTACGTATTCTTAGTATTCCTTCTTTCCTTTTCGTATTTCCGTTCGCACAATTATCTCGATCGCGCTGTTAGGTAATATTTGAATCGCCATTCTTCATGAGCGGTCGAACGGACGATAAGATACTTCGACGTTTCTTTGAAAACACGCCCTCAGATTGCACAGGAAGGCGATTCAGATGTTTCCTGAAGTGTTAACTATGTACACTAAGCGTGAGTAACACCAGATTACTTGCTAGATCCAAGGTCATTCTCTTATGTAGCAACGCAAGTTACACCTTAAGTTACCGCAGCGACAGACCAGCTGCTTCGAGAGTCCTGTTTTCTCAAATAATCAGATCTGTTGTACGACGCACAAATATTACTAGACGTGGAATAGAAAATTTCGAAGTGTTCCTAAATCACTCTGATAAGTGGCTGGACATTATTATCGCTTAGTGTATAAGCGCCCCGATGTCTCC